GGAACAGGAGGGGGGCGTATTGATCCACCAGCTGCGCGCGGGTTTCTCTTACCCTTCACCCCCGCTGTATTCACCCAGCCTCCGCCACACACACCGCCTCCACTGGCCGACTCTACCCTCGGAGAACGGGTCTCGCGCCCCGTTTCACTTTGCCACCACCCTCTTTCTCTCCTGCCCCGGCCAGCTGCCCGTCTGTCCGTCCCTTTCTGGCTCTCTCGCTTGTGTGTCCGCCTACAAGCGATGGGAATGATGCCCTCGCGAGCAGGATATCAACGGTGTGGTATTCGTGAGACTGGTTCTAGTTGCCTGGATGGTGCAGCTTTTCTTAGTCAATGTTAGAGGACACATATACGAACACCGCGCCACACGAAGCTTCCCACTCAGGGATCGGGCAGGACGACTTCGTGAAAATCCCACGAGAATAGAACCGGAATGCATCGTTGGAGGGTAGAAAGAGAAAGAGATAATTCTTCCCCTTTAATGGCAAGAATACTCTTCGTCTACCTCAGCGCTGTCCAACTTCTTTCGAGCTAACAGCCATAACCCACCAGCGTTCCCCTGGTGTATTATTACAGACCCAGTTTCTGATCACCAAGTTGGACATCACTGGTCTACCTTCTGAAAGTTTCCAAGGACAGGGAAACCAACGAGCATTACTTCCTTCCCCAAGTGTTCGTTCCATCGCTACTGCACCCCTCTAGCTTCCTCCTTTGTATTCGTTTGTTTCTTCTAGGGATGTAGGTATACGCGCGCGCGCACACGCGCCCTTTCCCTTTGTTCCCCTCCGTCCGCCACCCCCTATTGGCAGCTTCCACTCTCCAGGGCTGTGCGCTAGCGGTCCACGGTCTCTCCCTCGACCTCTGCACCCCAAACATCCTCTCGCCGTGTACGGCTCTGTCCACGTTCCTCGCGGCAATACACAGCTGAACCCGGAGTAACGCGCTCCTACGGCTCTTCCGCCACCCCCGACGTTCACCCCTCCCGCCATTCGATGACGGTAATACGCCGTTGCTCCCGCGCGGATCCTCGGGGAAAAACTACCACCGACGTCGGCGTACATCTCCAGCGGAGTTCGGTACACCCGCTGGACAGACCCTTCTCTTCCGGACGTGCTCATCCCCCTTAAGACGCCCCTCCTCCAGATTCCTTACGGTCGTTTGCTCGAACCCTTGCGAGGACATTGTGCAGCTTCGACCATATGTATATACTTACAGACATGGATTCAGATAACTGCTTTGCAGCAAAGATAAAATCATGCATATGACGTCACACGAGGGCGATATACAGAAAGTCCTGAAATAGGTGTAAGTCCTTGGAAGGGTTGATCCCTGGGGTGATTTGAAACAACTTTTTCCTCAGCGAAAAAGTTCTCCGGAGCTTCGTTAACGAGATATTAACGAAAAACCCCGACCAATCAGGGCCCGAGTCTGCTGGCTGAGCTGCTGCGGCTACGTTGGCTACGCGTTATCGCGGGAGCTCAGTCGGCAGACTCGCGCACTGATTGGTCGGGGTTTTTCAATTAATATCTCGTTAACTAAGCTTCGGAGAAATTTTTCGCTAAGGGAAAAGTTGTTTCAAACCACCCCAGGAATCATCCCTTTCAAAGACTTACGCCTATTTTATGGGACACCTGTATACAGGGTGGATTATCCAGGAATTTCGATATTTATGGGTTAAGTATCGATACTGGGATGTATCGTCAGCTTAAATATCGATCTTTCAACTGATAAGTATCGATATAAAATATTGATATTAAAATTGACTAGTATCGATACGAAATATCGATATTTAAACTGACAACTATCGATACAAAATATCGATATTTGATTATCGCCGATCCCTAATTGCAACGTAGCTTCATCAGTGGGTCGAACGGCACACTGACAATACAATCTCTTATCTCGTCAATTGGATACCGTGTTTACGATCGACTCTGTCGCAGAATATCGATAATGGACGACGATTGGTAGTTTGCTGGATGCAAACTGGATGATGGATGAAGAAGATGCGACAGTTGGGATTCTCGCGGGACCATCGTGCCGCGCGTCGGCTGTAGTTTCGCGAGAAACGGACAGGGATGCCGAAACGATGGCAGTTACGGGTAATGAAGGGTGACAGCGGAACGAAAATAAAATATTGCATCGTCTTCAACCCCTATCGATTTCGACGTCGACGCGCCCGCGCGTGTACATATGGAGGACGGGCGAGTTTTTGAAAAAATAAAAAAATAAAAAAATAAAAAGGAAAACAGCACGAACAGCCATCGTTTTCCCTGGCGTGTAACACCATGGAGAGAGTAGCTCCTAACTCCAGGAACTTTATCGTATCCTCCGCAGGGAAACACTCTTATCTTTTTCCAATTATTCGTCCCGACGATCCGTAGAACGGCCTCTTCTCTTGCGGTAGAACACGCCGCCGTTGAAACGATGATCGCATCTGTGCTCGAGGACACAGAAAAACGGCGTTTCGTGCTCGAAATAATTAGCCGCGAATTACAATTCGAAACGACGAATTCCCGCCCGTTTACATTCGTCTTACGAACTACCGTGTACACTCGAGAGTAAACTTTCGGTTTCCGCTAGGGGAAAAAGTGCAGCCTTAGGGGAAGGGTCTCCGATCACTTATTGTTGAGAGTTAATGAAATTTATATCAAACTAGCTTTGTTCTAAATTTTTAATTCCAAGTGTAAAAAAAGGTGATGGAATTTCAGAAAATCCTGAAATTACTTTTCGAGCGTTTGATTAAGTAGCATCTTAAAGTAAAAAGAAACGGGATATCTCATCAGGACTGAGGGATAGTAAAAGATTCCCAGAAAGAACATTTATTCCTTTTTACCACTCTAGGGGTTGGATTTCGAAAAATCTTTTCTTAACGGATACCAACGTTCTAAGTGGAAGCTATCTCTTAAATTTTATGTTTCTAAGTTAAGTTAGTCAGTCAGGACTTCTTCTTTTATATATATATATATATATATACATATGACATTTGAATTAACATTTACATCACAATTTGAAATAAAATTACCAAGTGGTAAAAAACCCTTCCCCTACGCCGTTTTCTCCCTCTAGCGAAAGCCGAATTTGCTCGCGAGTTACTGAATCGGATCGTGTCTTATCACTTTTAAGATTCTAGTAGAAGCCAGGAAGTTCTATCGATCACTGGCATAATGGTTGATTCATGGAAAAGCATAGAAAAGAGTTAATTGTAGGGTACTTACCTTTAGGACCCGGGGATTTCGCAAGTCGTAGAATCGGGGAGTCGATGGAATTTCGAAACGATGGTCATTTTTGCCGAGTCTATGCGCACAGGAAACTTTTAATTAGAACGTGGATACGTGCTACGTTCGACAATTCTTTTTTTTTTTTTTTTTACGATACCGACTTTGACATATGTTATCAAAGTCACCCCCCTGGATAACCTTGAGGAGGTTTAAACCGCTGATCATTCGTTATTAAAAAGTTATTTCCAAAAAAAAAGATAAAAAACGTACCCTAATTTTCCCAGAAATCTGAACTCTCGTAACGTAGTGTCTTAAAAAAATACTGTTCAACGCATTGTATTGATCATAATTGGTTAGAGACAATCCCAACTCTTTTCTTGTTTATAACTTTTAATCGGCAGTTTAAACCTTCTGAAGGTTCCTGGGGAGGGTGATCTTGACATTATCAAGTTTATCCACTTACTGTACGTCGATCATGCTGCAGAACATTCCGTGCAGTCCGATCAGGGGGATAGCTAAGAGCGCACAACACTGAACCACCAGTAACGGTATGACCTGGAACACAGAGAGAGGGAAAAAAAAAAAAAAAAAAAAAAAAAAATGTTCGCGACAGTTTACAACATTTTAATGTAATGGGGTTGCAAAATGAGCGTGCAAGAGCTTTTGATCTCCGCGGTAAATATAGAAGAGAGGGGAGGGTTACGCACGTGCTGTTCTCGATGGAAGGGAAATAGGGCTCGATTCGATAGGACGCGCGTTTGAAATATTCAAAGGCCGTTCTACGGCGTTCACGTAAACGCGAAAAGGAAACGGAAACCGTCGAGCGTTGCCTCCGGGGTCGAACAATAAATTGCCGGTGAAAAGCCCCAGACCACCCTGGGAAAACGTTTTTCCACGTGGAAGGGGTTGCCCGGCTGGTAATTAAAATACCAATAGCCAGTCGTTAATTATTCAATGATACGAGAAAAGCACCCGAGTTTCTATTGTTCGCTCGGTATATTGTGACGAGGATTTAATTGTTCGCTGGACGACTGAACGTCGAAAGGAATTCGTGAAACAACTTTTCGGGCCACAATATCCGGTCGCTCTGTGTGTGCTTTGACGACGACGATCTTCGAAATTGATCCGCTTTACTTTTCCCCCCGCGAACGGTTAACATTTTTGGCGCTAGAAAGGCTAGTCTTGTTATCAAAATGGAAAAGTCGTACATAGTACTCTAGAACCTAAATCTACAGCACCTAAACCTAATCTTCGTTACCAATTACTTTGGACGAGTTCGTAACGATAACGCTTTATCAAAGAGGGACTGCATCCCTGGGCCCCACACAAGTGCCTTTACAGAGGTCCACAATCTAAGCCTTCCATTTTTAAATTTTCTATTTCTAAGGAGGCCTTTGAAGACTTGATAAACCTAGACACCAACGAGGTATAACAACAGACCTATCATTTTATGGGACTTGGTGGCTCACCTAGACTGTACTAGCTCCACTTAAAAAAGCACAGGATTTCAGTGACCTCTGCATTACGATACCGTTGAATCTACGACGAGTAGTGCCACTAAAATAGAAAAGAAAGAAACGTTGCCCCAGAAAAATGGGTCACAAAAATACATTGTATAGTCTATTCCTATACCTCGTCGGTGTCCCAGGTCTAAAAAGGTTTAATCAGGGCCTACATAGCATAGGTATCACTTAATTACTTTCTAACACACGAGGTTAAGCTACTACCGCGAGCAGAAATCATTCGGTGATTCTAATTTCTGTGGATTTGTATGTTTCAGCGCCGGCATGGAGGCGGCGAACGGTGCGATCGAGCACGATTTTCACAACACCCTGGTGCCCATAAACGGTAGCCATTCAGGTAGCTCTGGCAGGAGTACACCGAACGGAGGTGACCCAGCGCCAGGGAAACTGTTCGTTGGCGGACTTTCCTGGCAGACCAGCAGTGAGAAGCTCAGGGAGTACTTTGGCATGTTCGGCACCGTCACCGATGTCCTCATCATGAAGGATCCGGTCACACAGGTCGGTCTCTGAACGATGGAAGCTCTCTCTCGAGCTCGTCCATCGGTTCATCGTCCATCGACGGTGGCCGGTTTGCGCGAGTATCTCTTCCCATAAAGGAAGGATTTCTCTCGAGAGCGACGACCATTGAGCTCTATATTAAAGGTACGTGTTCACGGTGACAGTAAAAGTCACGATTTACTATCACGTGGATACGTACCTTAACTGGACAGCTGTACGAAGAAGTAGAATTGAGTACCGAGGGAAAAGGAGGATATAAGGGGAACCTATTATCCTTCTTCTTCCTATTATCCTATCTATCTACAGTAGACTCGCGTTAAAGTACCGCACGTTAAAGTAATATGAACGGCCCAACTCACACGCATCACTCATACGTGCGCGCATCCCAAAAGAATTGGTGGATCGACCGTGCTGCCACGAAATCCACGTACGCAATTGGCTCACGTTAAAGTACCGTTTCCAAGGAAGGACGGCTCTAGAGCACCCAACAGCGGTACTTTAACGTGAGTCTACTGTGGTACTGATTTGCCTGTATAGGGGATGTAGACGTCACGCCGTGATCTGCGTATGTGTGTAAGACTGAAATACATCCTCCTTATATTTCCTCTGTTTTGGATCGACAACCATTCCACAGTTCACACAGCAATTAGTACAGAGCTCAATGGTGACGACACGCGACCCACCACTTTGGTTTGGGGGTTGGTCGCCTCGTTTTTACCGGCCATCGTCGCACGGGATCGAATTCTCGGCCTATATTTCCTCCTCGATAGGTCAAATCGTGCGCGTCGGCCGAGCCGAAATGCAGCTCTCCGGGTTGGGTGCGGGCAGGGGCTTGTAGGGGGATAATTTGAAAATGAAAGGAAAAAGAAAATATATATGAGACTAGAAAGATATTATCGGGATTGAATTTCGCCCTCGAGGAGATTCGATGCACCAGTTTCTTCCTTCCACTTTTGCACGAGACTTCACACAGTAGAACCGTAGAGAAGACAGTTGTACTAATCGATGTAACTAATTTTTGCTGAGACAGTTGTAAAGGAAGTAGAAGTGTATCTTTGGTACTTTAATTGTATTAAACAATTTGTATTTAAAAACGTAAAAGGTGGAAAAGAGGCAGAGGCTCGTTTCTAAAGATACGTTTTTTTTCACACAGACACACCGGGATACGAGAGAAATCACTGAACGAGGACTGTGGGCATACATTTTTATATATACACACTTATCTATATACATATATATATATCTATTATATATCTATCGTATAGATCCGGTAGCGATGCAATTAACGATCGTAATTCTCAGTTGAGTCTTTATCATAATAATTCGAAGTCCTTGTCTCACGTAATCCTAGAATGTTTGTCTTACATTGGCTTGGACAGTCTTGCATGTAAACGGTAGTTTTGGTAGTATTTAGTTAACTGTATATAAGAGAAGATATACCACGGTACCTTTTCTACATACAGAGAGAGTCCGATATGAGAAAAAACGTGAACGGGATATACTTTTCCGACGTGTACCTAACGATAAAATGAGAGAACAGCTGGCCTGTCGGGAAAAATCGCGACTAAACACAACCGCAGAAACGTCGGGATGCGTTTGTACCGAACTCTCGTACACCCCTAAAGAACCGCGCGTTACGAAACCGTCATTCGTCGCCCGTCAGTTCGCTCTTTCGCTGTCACATGAGATCACCACAAGATCGAAAAATCGAACATTAAATTAATTCAAGCCACACGTTCTAGAAAGGAAAGCTCCACAGGACAGCGAAAGTGCTGACTGATAGGAGAAACGGAACTTCGTAAGACCCTCGGAAAGACCGCCAGGCGGAGCGGAAGCTAGCATAAATCGAGGATAGGTAGGTTCTCCGCGGAGAAGACAGTCAGACACACAAGGCAGGTCAGCCAGGGTGAGAAAACCGCGGGCCGAGATATTACGGCAGGGCGAGACATAGGGGGGGGGGGGGGAAAAAAAAAAAAAAAAAAAAAAAAAAAAAAAAAAAAAAAAAAAAAAAAAAAATACCCCCAGGGAAAGATGAGAGAGACGGTCGTTGTGCATCGTGGCCGTTCTGGCTTGTTCGGTTGCAGCGTAGTCGCGGGTTCGGCTTCATCACGTTCGCCGAGCCGGGTAGCGTGGACAAGGTGCTGAAGTGTCCAATCCACACGTTGGACGGCAAGAAGATCGACCCGAAGCACGCGACCCCGAAGAACCGTGCGAAACAGGCGAATCGCACCAAGAAGATCTTCGTCGGCGGTGTCAGTCAGGACACGAGCAGCGAGGAGGTGAAGGCCTACTTCAATCAGTTCGGCAAGGTCGAGGAGACCGTGATGCTGATGGACCAACAGACGAAACGTCACCGTGGTTTCGGTTTCGTCACGTTCGAGAACGAGGACGTCGTCGATCGGGTGTGCGAGATACACTTTCACACGATCAAGAACAAGAAGGTCGAGTGCAAGAAGGCGCAACCGAAGGAAGCCGTTCAACCTGGCGCGTTGGCACTTGGAAAGAGGGTGGTCCTGGGTGCTTTGGGCGTACGATTAGCGCCACAACCGCCGCTTCCTGTCTCCGCTGCTTCGCAATTAGTCGCGGCGCAGGCACAGGCGCAAGTACAAGCGGCTGCGGCCGCAGCTGCTGCCGCTCAGGTTCAAAACGCGGTGGCTGGGTACGGGAAGCTATTCGCTAGCAGTTACCCAGCCCTATCAGCCTACAGATACGCCCCGTACCCGATTCCAGCGGCGGCGGTGGCCGCTGCCGCGGCTGCAGCCGCGCCGCAACCGGCCCCTGCGCCACCGTCTGCGGCAGCCGCGGCCGCTGCAGCTGCAGCAGCGACCCCCGCAGCAGCGGCCGCAGCTGCGGCTGCGCCGGCGAACCCCTATCAAGGATACTCGCTCACCAACGTCGACATGTCCAGCTTCCAGGGCGTCGACTGGGGCTCCATGTACGGAATGGGCATGTACGTTTAAGCCGTGTGTACACCCGCGGTAATGTCGTCGAAGCGAACTCTGATCCGCGAACGGTGGCGTTGCGCGCGCACGCTTCCACGAATCGCTGATAATGACCTAGCTAGCCCGAGAAAGGACCAGCATACAGAACTAGTGGTCGTGTTGCAACTATGGAGCAACAGGTTTCCGAGCTTCCGGTTCTTCTTTCTTTTCTACTCTGCTCTTCCACACGAGCCGTGTGCGTGTGTGCGTGCGTGTGTTTATGTGTTACACACTCGTACCATCGGGACTTGTACCAGAAGTCGATACCTCCTGAAGCAATCAGTGGGACCTTCAAGGTGTCTACAGACCTTTGGAACGCGTGTCGGCTGGGGATTCGAACGCCATTTACGCGGAGACGAGAATTTACACACTTGGCGTGTCGTAACGATTCGTGATTGTGGGAAGGATACATGGATTCTTACCTGTAAGATACACCCTACACCTGGGGATAGAGGATGAAAAGGAAGGCACGGAAACGGATAAGAGCGAGCTCGAATGGATCAGAGTCGGGAGGAGAAGCCGTGCGTGAAGAGCATTTCCGGTCGGTATTATATTAACCGAAGTCATTCATCCTTGCGTTTACAAACATTACACTTCGTCGTTATCGCTTGTCAATTAATTTATTAGCGAGAGAGCGTGAGAGCATGTGACATCGAGTGTGAGAGTTACGCGTGCGTATATGTGCGTAATATTATTTTTTTTTTTTCGTCGTGTAATATCGCCTGTTCCGTTGCTCCCCCCCCCCCCCCCCCCACCACGTGTTTCGTACACTATTTTCCCCGTTTAACTATCCATCCGCGCGCGCGCGCGCGTTTTTACGTTTTCCACCGCACTCGGTTCCTAGTTAGATTAGCACACGCACCCTGACACACGATAACGCGCGCGGCGTTCCCCTTGGCTTTTTGCCGCGCCCACTATTCGTACACGACGGAACCCACCTAATTTTACTTAATATCGATTAATTAAGTAAGCGATACGTCGGCGGCCGTGAATCGCGCCGCCCTACCACTCAAGGATCTCGACCACGAAGCAATAAAACAGGGGAGGTAGAAAGAAAGAGAAAAAAACGAGCGAGCGAAAGATTGATTATAGAACGCTCCCTGTAAAAACCATGTGTGAGCTCGCTAGCGATGAATCGCGACAAGTGTGTGTGCGTGTTTCCTTCTGTCTCGTTGTTATTACTAGACGTCAATGCAAATATAGAATTTTTTCGATTCATTTTACTGACCTTAAATACAAACAATTTATTTACCCTGTTCAGGGTGCTGGTAGGTTCGAAGTACAGTAAACTCTTGATATATTGTCCTGGCCGGGGCTGTAGGGAAGTGAAATTCTAGGAAACGGCAATATACCGAGAGCCTCGTCTATGCTTAATACTGCCGCCGTAACAGCGTCTGCGCAAAGACGATCATCGATGCTTCAAGCAGCAATATATCAAGAGTCCACTGTACAAAGATAGACGTCAATAAATTTATCGAAATCTTTTAGTATTTTAACATTCTATAAATGTATATAAGTCTAGTTATTACCATCGACAAAATTGCCCTCACGGCGATGAAAGCGCGCGGGATAAAGGACACACGAATTCTTCCGAAAGAGCATCGACATGAGATCTGTTATCCTCTGTATGTACATGTATACCTGGGCCCTTGGCGCAATCAAATCTTCCTTCTCCAGAGAACGAGGCAGTTCTCCTGTTCGTTGCGCGACACTCCTCCCCGCCTCGGTTGAAAGTGCCAAACGAGAAAAACCGCTGGATTAATCCTCGAGAGGGAAACTTGGCCGCGGAATATTGCAGAGACAGTTGCGCAGGATCGTGTCCTTGCTCCCGCGCGATTTCCACGTGCCCGTTAATCAGCGTATCTAAACGACCGCAACAGGTCGATCCTCGAGGAGACAGAGAAGACACACACACGCCCACGATTCTTAAGCTGCGTCTATACTATACAGCAAGATAGTGTTATATAACATATTTTTCTAACTTGTTACACGATTGCACTTTCTGAACGAGTTTGTGACAAGTTCGTATAAAATTTCGCCACGAATTATTCAACCCTTTTTTGCGCTCCAAAGCACTTTTATTATAAACGACTAGAAGCCTAAAGATATCTCAGTGGTATCAGTTCTGAAACGTTCAAGTATTCCTTTCCTAATAATATTTTCGATGATTTACAAAATTTACATTTTTCATTCGTTCGTTTAGTTTCTATTGCAATAAACACAACTCGCGGTCTATATTTTACGGTGTCGCTGCAAGTGGAGTTGCATATAATGCCGAAAATGTTATGTAACATTTTACTTTCTGTTTCTCGAACATGTTTTATAACATTGCTATATAACCGTGTTTGTGGTGTACAGTGGAGACGCAGCTTTATATAAACACACTCACGTGAGAAAGGAGCTTGTACAACGGACGCGTCTGAATAGGGATATAGCTATGTATAGGTATACATATATTTTTCTCCGAGTAATGGAAGACAATATTTACTCCATCGCGCGAATAAATCGGACTCCACTCGTTCTCGTGAACCGGAACGAGGGGGCAGCACACGCGATTATCGAGAGATAGAAGACGGACGTGTTTTTTGGGAGACGATACTCAAGTTTCTTAGGTATATATATATACATAAATATATATAATGTATAGGTTCGAAGGCGGCCCCCGCGGCCTCCCCGTGACTGCGATTTGCGATAACAAAAAGGGAACCCAAGATCGTGAGAGAGATTAGCTCAGCCGTAGCGTTTAAGCGATTCCTAGTTCGTAAGTTTCAAGCAGGTTTAAGGTAGATCGCTAAGGGCGGTTCGCGACAAGAATAAAAAAAAAAATCACGATGTCGATACTTAATTTATATACGTATCTCCGAGAGTGCGCGTGGACACGCGCGTTTTACGCTCCTCTTGCTTCGCTGACAATGAAAAAATTTCAGAATTCGATCGTGGCGGCTACTGATCATCAGGCTTCGATCTTTCGCGACTTCTGAACAGCTTTCACGAAACGTCTTTCCTCTTATTATTATTATTATTATTATTATTATTATTATTATTATTATTATTTTTTTTTTTTTCGTCAAATCAAATGTCGAGTGGATCTCGACGAATTTCGTGTTTCGACCGCGACTACGAGAGAGAGAGCGTAGAGACTCTGATTAAAGTTAGATCGGTGGATTCTTTTTATTTATTTATTAATCGCGTCGTTCGGGTGCGCGTCCCTATTTATATAAACGATTGAGATCGAGAGCGTGAGTCGCGAAAGATCGACGAACAGACCGTTTCGCCGTGGATATAGTAGTCGCCACTGGATTCTGTGAGAAGAATAGAAAGAAAAGAAAAAATGTTCGTGGAAAAAGGGGGCAAGAGGAGCACGTGACGTGTCGCGCGAAGAATTTTCGAGCAATAAGCGAATATCCACTGAAACTTTAAAAGCTGTAATATCCCCACCCCGTCTGCGATATACGGGGACACACGAGATGAAAATGAAAATGAGCAAAAAAAATATATATAAGGAGTAATCTGTGCGCTAGATGAAAGGATGTTGCGCGCGCATGAAAGAGACTCGATCCGCTGCCGATGAGCAGCGGTGGAGGCGAAGGAAGGAGGAATTCTTCTGAACGACAAGTAATATTCTTTAGTGATATACGCCGTAAAAAAAAAAAAAATATACTTACATAACGTGTACCGGTAAATAATGTTAACAAAAGAAAAAAAAAACGACGACAAATGCTCGCGAGTGATATTTATGACTTAAACTTAAGAAGGATACTTAAATCGATAAGCGGACACAGAAGGAAACGAAAGGAGCAAAGAGGGGAGGACGAGAGTTGGAAATCCGTGCGTCGTGCCATGCGGAGCGAGGCGTGCGTGTTATAATAAGCGAGAAAGAAAGAGAACAAAATGCAAGAGACGACGATCCGAAATAGCGACATCGCGCGAGGGATGCAAAACCGAAATTCTATTTTCTCCACCGGTCCCCCCGCGTACTCGAAGCTGACCTCGAGGACACCCGATTCACCAACCCCCATCCCAATTCATCGTCGAACCTTTACCATCTTCCGTCTTTTCGTTGGTTCCAGAAACCCTTGCTTTCCTCCAATTGTCACACGTTTCTCTCTTTCGCGATCGATATTTCGCGTGATACTTTCGTTTCGTCGAAACCACAGAAAGAGGGAAAGGTGGCGAATGGGGGTGGTCCCGAGATCGGGGTCGAGATCCGATGTCGTCGAACCTGTCGTGAAATATTCTTTTTCCATCGAACTAGGGTTGATTCGATCTTGTACAGAGGTGAGTCGACAAGAACTACCATCTAAAATAACTTATTAGTTGTATCGATTTTAATGAATTATATACAGTAAATCCTCGTTGAGTGTTCGATGGCTCCTCGGTACTGAACATGAAATATTGCATGAAGTAATGGCCATATGCAGCTGAAACAAATATCATTGGCTTTAGAATTCCAAGCTCTATCACTGTGCTAAATTTGATTAAATAGTCAACGTTATACCTGGGGACCTATGCTTGTCAGTGTCGAGGAGCCTTCGACCACTTATCGAGGATTTACCGTAACAATTTACGGGACGCATCGGATGGATACAAGTTGATTTAGTTTTTAGATATCAAGGTGACCTTGAATTTCCTCAAGGTCAATGCATCTTTTGTTTAATACCATCATGCTATAGGTCGTTGAATTCTTCCATTAACAACAACGTGGTATTAAAAAAGAGATGCGTTGAAAAAAACTCAAGGTCACCTTGATATCTCAAAAACAATGCTACATAATTCATTGAAACGTTTTCTGATACAATCAACAGGTATCGAGTTCGGTTAGATAGTACTTCCTATTGACTCACCCTGTGTATTGGTTCTCGCCCGAGTATCATCGACGACGTCGGATCCAACGAGAGCAGAAACGTCACGGGGCTTCTCCGAAGCGTGCGTGCGCACCCTCTTCGCGAGAACGTTACTTTTCTTTTCTTTTTTTTTTCTTGCGATCTCTGTGACGGGTGGAGATGACGCGCGCGCGAACACAGAGGGACGCGGTTGCGACTCGTGTCGTCGTGAAAGGAACGAGAGACGGTCGATCCAACGATCGATCGATCGATCTCGTACCTGTTCCGGGATGATCTTTGAACCTGCATCGACGCGAACGTCGTGTCATCGTTTGATAACCGACCCCTCCTGTATTACACACCTATCCTTTGTCCTCCACGTTTTTCCAACCCTCTTTGTCGACAACCCCCCACCCCTTTCACGCAACGCTGCCGATGATTATGTGTATTTTATACGCAACACACACGTACAAAATACAACACGTTGAACTCTTATAAACACACACAGTTTTACATAGAAACACACACACGTATATAAAACAAACACACACACACACACACGTTTTACGAATGTCGAGAGTAATACTTATTAGCGTAGCTAGTATATTTTGATGAGCGCTAACCACCCATTAGTTGAGAATGATCAGTAGGTGAAGCATGCTGGTTGAAATTATCTTTTAGAGATTCCGGATGTGT